TCCCAGGGAGCAATGGATGGGAAAGGCCTGGGGAAGGCGCAGAGCCCTGGGGAAAAGAGGAGGGAGGGAGTGGGATGTGCAGGGCATGGGAGGAGAGGGTGGGGCCGGGGGGGGGGTGAGATTCTGAGCAAAGGCTTGGAGCCAAGACTGAATATGGGATGTGGAGCTGCTGCCACCATCATTCCCCTGGCCCCTTCTCCCCTATACCTGCCATGCCCCCACTCCTTCATCAGCCATCTCCTGACAAAAGAGAATGCATGGTCCTCACCCACCAATGTCCCAGGCATGGAACCCCCAGCCCCAGCACATCCTCCTGTTGGGGTGGCACAGATCCTCTTGGCCACACAGAAGAGCAACACAGATAAACCTCAAGGAAATCAGTACCCTGGCCATGCCTCCCAGGTCACCAAGGGCCTCCTCCTGGTCACCGAAGAAGGCTGAGCAACCTCTGTACCCTGGCCAGCTCCCATGCCCAGAATGTCCACTGAGGGTGCCATCAGCAAGCACGTGGGCCTCAATGCCATTACAAAAGCGATGGGAACAAGAAGGGCATCCATTCATTAGCAGCAAATTACACTCAATTATCTTAGCAAATACAGCAAAACATCAGTGCAGTGGCTGGCAGGCTGTTCACGGAGCTAGGGAGCCCCTCTTCTTCACCTCAGTGATGGGGAGCTCACACTGTGCTGGAACTTTTTCAGGAGGTGGGACTGAAACAAGGGACCAAGGGGCAGCAATGGCCTGTGTCTTTGGGGATCAGGTAGGCAGAGTCAGGCAGGTGCATCCTGAGACTGAGCGGAACTGGAGGTCAGACAGTGCAGGAAGTTAGGGGTGGAGGGTGGCACTATCCTCGGCCTCCCTATACTGCACATCTGTGGTGTAGCAAGAGCCCAGGATGCCCTGGGGAGGGGCCACACCTAAGATGGAGTGGGGGCAGCGTGAGGGAGAGGGCTGTTTCCGCTGAGGCTGCCACAGTGCAGACTGACAGTGACGGAGCAGACCGATGGTCCTTCCCTCTGTGGAGCTCTCAGTGCTGGAGGGAAGAGGCAGCCAGAAGCTGCCACACGACTGTGCACTTCCGAGGCCTGGGGGCCACAGAGAGAGACACAGAGGGAGAAGGGCAGGCAGGGGAAGGAAAGAGGGGACTTGAGCGTAAGGCGGGGGCCTCTTTCCTCTGCAACAGCCAGAAGTAGCCTAACCATCACCTGTGGGAGCCACCCGTCCTTCTTCCCTCCCGCAGAGCCCGATTGATGGCAGGAGCTTGGAATTCCTGCTCTCCCTGCACTCCGTAACCTGGGGCTGGGGCCCTAAGCTTGGTCACTTTCCCAACCTTTTTGCTACTGTATTTTCTGTGCTTCCCTTAATTAGAAAACAAGTCTTTTGGTGTTGTTGCCTATGATCACTGAGAACAGCTGCCCCTCTCAGGTGCCTCAGCTCGAAGTCTGCCCTCTGAATTCTATTTTGCATTAACTTGCAAGCCAAGCTGGAACCCCTGGAACATGCACATCAAATATTTAGCAATGATCTCAAACAATTGCATCAGAACTTCTGGGGAGAGAGCCCAAGCTCTACTGTTATTAAAAATTCCCTAAGTGATTCTAATGGGCAGCCACAGTTGAAGACAACTGGACTAATGGAATCTGGGTCTGTATTACTAGGCGCATAATGTGCAGAATTGAGGAGGTGAAAGCTGACCTATTATGAACTGAAACACAATGCAAGGCGGGGCTTTGACCTGAAAGGAACAATGAGGAAATCTGTCTGGAGGAGGGTGATGAGGGTGGAGAGGACACATTAGCAGAAGGAACGGGGATATTTTGCTGCTCAGATGCTAGAGCATGGCTGGAGTAAAGGTCATCAGCCTCAAGTCTGGGGCTGGGATGTCTGCCCCTTGAGACCTGGGCTTTTCTTTGCTCTCATAAAGCACGGCCTTAGTAAGGAAGCAGGGCCACCACAATTATCTGGAGCTGGTGGTGCTAAATGGCAGGTTATGGGCATGCTGGGACACGGTGCAGATTTCATCGCCGTGAGGCCCGGCATCCAACAAGATCCTAATGAACCACACCCCGCTCACTGCCCAGCAAGACGCTGACACCCAGTCCCAGGGCTGGGGCCTCAGGAACACAGGCAGCTCCTGGGGCACTGAGGAGGCAACCCACAGGCAGAAACTGAAGACCCCCAGGGGTGGGAGGAAGGGATCTCACACCCCGTCCATCCCTGGAAGCCCAGCTAGGCTGTGAATTCCAAACACAGCTCTCTCCCTGTTTAGAAACCAGTTTGCTAGTGGCCCAGGGCTCTTCTCTAGCACATTCTTACATGTGACTGGCTAGAAAGCCAGCCCAAACCGTGACAATTCCACCAGCCTTTCAAATGCATCCAGAGATCCCATTTCTAGGACTCCATTTTTGCAGAAACTGGAGCACAAGGCTGCACTATTTGTATCCAACTATGGATACAACTATGGTAAAATGTATTCTAGAAGAGCAGCACTATGAGATACTATATAGCCATTTAAAAAGAATGAAGTGGGTCTTTGCAAAAAACTAGACACAAAATAGCATGTACTACAGGATTCTATTTATATCAAGTTCAAGAATAAGTGAAACTAATCTGTGGGGAAAGCAACTACAATAATATCTTTGGGTTGAGCTAATCACTGGCAAGGGGCACTAGGGAACTTTCTGGGATTCCAGAATTGTTTTCTTTCTATGTATCTGTCATACCTATCTATATATCTATCGTGTATGTGATATTACAGATTAAACCCAGTGCTTCATACATGCTAGGCAAGCACTCTGCCACTGAGCTACATCCCCAGCCCTTTTAACTTCAAAACACAGTCTCACTAAGTCACCCCCGCTGGCCTGGGATTTGTGACCTTACTGCCTCAGCCTCTCAAGTAGTACCTAGTATTATAGGCATGCGACACCACCCCCTGGCAACAAAGTTGTTTTATATCTTGATCTGGGTAGTGATCACATAAATGCTTGTGTAAAAATGCATGGAGCCATACCATAAGGATATTAAATATTAGATTGTTACATATCAATTTAAAAAGAGGATGGCACTCTAGAACTGACTTGGGAAAATGATAAAGAAAAGCAAAAACAAAGTGCAGAACAATATGTACAATAGTGTACAAGCCTGAAGAAAAATCTGGAAGGATACCAAGCCCTCAGTGACACTTCCTGTTTTGCTTCTCGGTGGCCCTTGCATTTGAAGATTAGGGGAGTTGACTTCTTGGGCAAACTTTGGCTTCAGTCCTGTTTGGGACTTGTGCTTTGCAAGTCTTTGGATGTTTAGACATTGGCCGGCTGTGAACCTACTTGTATCAACATCCCACTGAGCAGCACCCTGCTGGGACAGAGAAAGGCAGGTGCCACTCCCTAGACAGCCCCCACGGAAAGCGTTGTCCAAGGCTGTGCATGCAGGCAGAAGACCCTGTGCAGAGCCAGCAGAAGAGGCAGGGTGACCCCAGGCTCCTGCCACACCTCTCCAGCACCACCCCAGCTCCTCCCTCTGAGTGGTGGATGATGGGATCCACTCACTGGTTTTCACAGGGCTGGTTACAAATGGTCCTGGAGGCAAAATCCAGTCACATCTTGAGCCAGGCAAATGAACCCTCAATCTGTCCCTTCTTTAATAGGAATGTGACACCTGCAGTCTACAGCTTGTCGCGCTGTGAGAATTATTTCTCCATTAAGATGCAGGAATTGGAGCTTTGCCCAGGAAGGGCAGCTAAAAATACTGCTCTTGAGGGCACTTGTTACCCAGGGTGCTGATAGCCACGTTCCTCACCTCCCAGCTCCCAGGCAAGTCCCACACCTGCTGGGTCCCTCCTCAAGCTCTTGACACAGCACCCTGCCAGAGCCCAACCCCAACCTCGACAGAGACAAAGCATTGGTCACCATGAGTCAGGCAGGTTCGCGCAGCAGGCTTGGGGTTACCCACTCTACAAAGCCACCTAGACAGCCACGGTGTGGCCCCAACTGCAAGGAGGGACAGAGCCAGTCCTCCCCAGTGGGGCCTGAGGCCCAGCAAGGGGAAGCAACATGCTCACCGGCTCAAGGGTACATTTAGGGCCAAAGGCCAATCTTTTGCACAAGTCTTTGGTGTCCTTCCTGGGCACCCAGAGCACTACAGACGGGACTGCGAGCAAGGTGATGCCCAGAGCCACCAACTTCCTAACAAATCTTCCACATGCAACCAGGTGTGGTGGTGCACACCTGCAATCCCAGCACTCTGGGAGGCTGAGGCAGGAGGATCACAAGTTCCAGCCCAGTCTGGGTAATTTTAGTGATGTAGCAAAACTATGTCTCAAAAAAAATTTTTTTAAACAACACGCTTTTCAGGAGAGGGATCATCACCCCTGTTTGATAAAGAAATTAAGGTTCAGAGTACGAGGGATGTGGTCACAAGTTAGTGGCAAAGCATGAAGACCAAGAGGAAAGGACTGTAGTGCACCGTGGACTCCCACAGCCCGTCCTGGTCCTCCAGAAACCTGCATGGCTGCCATGCTCATCCCTCCTCTCTGCCTCAGTGGGCAGCATCGAAACCTCAGTCTCATGCTTCATACATGAAAACTGAGACCCAAGAAGGTCAGCATCCTGCTCAGGGTCACCAGGCAGAGCTAGGTCCTGGACGGGGCCCGACTCCTGGCCTGGTATCCATTCCACGGGTCAGTCTGCAGAACTCCATTCCTGGTGTCAGTGTCTTCCTGGGCCATGGCATCCCCAAGGTAAAACCGTGGTAAAGCTGTATCCCCGGAGGCTCCGAACAAGCCTAGGGTTTGAGTCTTCTGAGTCCAAGAACTCAGGTGACATTTCCATGAATGGGGCACCCTCCGCCAGGGCCCAAAGAGCCTACCCTTCTAGCCAAACAATATTTTTCCAAGAGGGAAATCAAGGCCAGGAAACTAAGGGGGCCCTGCATATGGCCACAGAGACCCAGGCATCCCACCCACCACCACCCCAGTGCTTCTGAGCACTTCACAGGTGAGACACTTTTGACAAAAGCATTTATTTTCCCCAAACCCACCCTCAACATACAAAGTCCCACATTTAAATTAGACATCTTCACGTCTTCCCTCCTGGGGCGCCAAAGAGGCCATCCCGACACAGGACTCCAAGGCGGGGGCTGGCCACGGACAAGCCAGGAGGTATCCGCCCAGGCCCCAGTAGCACCATGGTGGGAGACAGTCTCCTCTGTCCCCAAAGCCCTGCCAGCCCGCAAAGGTAGGTTTGGAGGGTCCTGGCCAGCTGCCCAGCAGCTCACACTGGAAAGACTCCTGGAAACCTCCTGATTCTCCAGTGTGGCCAGGGCTGTGTCCCTCTCCCCAGGCTTCTCCCCTACCCTAGGCACTGGGTAAGGTGTAGGGTAAAAAGCTGCCCCCTAAGATGGCCCCTGAAGACCCCAGAGAACCAGTGTGACCGGCACCTGCTTCCTGTGGGGGCAGCCCGGGTGGCATGGAGGAGATGGCAGGAGAGTCATACATGGCCCAGAACATGCAGCTGGCAGGAAGGGTGCCCGGTGTCCCTGTGAGCAGCAGGAAGGCCAGGCACAGGGCAGGAGGAGGAGGAATGGAAGAGGCAGCCTCCAGACTCAAGGCTGCCGAGGAGTTGGATCCTATGAAGGTCAGGAGAAGCCTGAGAAAAGGGAACTAGTGCATCAGGGCCACCGGCAAGACAAGGCAAGAGGTGACAGTGTAGTGTGTCTTGGAGAAATAAGGCAGGGGTGAGTTGAAGGCCAGGTCCTTTGGAGAGAAAAAAGGCAGCTAGGGTTTCTGTGTGGCTTGGAGGAACAAGGCGGTAGGGTGGTCTGTGTACTGTGTCCGCAAGAAATAAGGCAGCAGGATGACTTGGGAATCGGGTCACTTAGAGAAGTGAGGCTGCAGGGTGGTCTGTGTACCGAATCCTCTAGAGACGGGCAGAGCTGGACCCATGGGCGGGGGCAGGGCTCACTCTGAGACCCCAGTGCAGCCAGAGGGTGGAGCCCCCGGGTAGGGAGGGTCCCAGCTCCTGGTCAGGCGATTTCTTGTCCATCATCTGCATCTCCGGATGGGAAGGGGACAAAGGAAAAAACAACAAATTAGGGCTGTTTGTTCTACTCTTGGGATTATGCCCGAAGCCCCAGCATGGGTCAGGTAGCACAATGGCCAGAGAAGTCTGACAAGCAGCACCGTACCAACCACGGCTCTGGAGCCCCAGACAAGAGCTTGGGAGCTGGCCAAGAGGTGAGCAGCAAGGCTCCTGAGGGACACCACCCCTGTCACCACACGCTCAATCCCAAGGGCCCATCACACGGCCACCTCCTTCCTGCTGGCCTCTGTCTGCAACTCATTTTCAGCCCTTCCTGTGTCTCCTTCATCCCAGGCCACACAGGTCTTTACCTTCTTTGCTTTCTGAGTGTTTCAGAGGCCTCAGGGCTGCAAAAGAGGACGGAGAGAGCAATGAGGAGGGAAGTATTGAAAGGGAGGGCTGATGGGGAGCAGTGAAGGTGGGCAGGGCAGGGGCAGGGGCAGGGGCAGGAGGGAGACATGGAAGGGAAGGGGCCGAGGGTGCTGTCCCGAGCCTCAGTCCACAAGTCCCCGCTGTCCTCAGAGGTCTGTCATTCCCCTCCCCCGGCCTCAGTTTCCTGCGTCTGTAGACAGGACAGCCACCCAGCATTCCAGAGGTGTGGGGGTGCGCTGAGCCTGCTCCACAAACAAGGGTGCAGAGAGGCCCTAAAGGATGCTGGCATGTTGGCAGATGCCATGGGGGCCCGGGATCGCATGGGTCTCAGGCTGACCAGCTCCCCAGCCCCCCACTCCCACCTCTCCCTCCCTTCTGCCAACTGCATCTGCTTCCGGTGTGGAAAACGAGGTCTGATCCCAGGGCTGTCTCCACGCCTGCCTGTGCCAGGCACCAACACACAGAGAATTAATTGGCGTAATTGATTGCAGTCCCCTGGTGCCAATCTCCTGCCTTCCTTCTGCAGGGGTGGGGTGGGAACTCATGTCACCTGGAACCAGCCCCAGTAGGTCGGCAGGAAGCTGCCGTTCCCAGCCCAGGGGCTACCAGAAGTGAGGCCGGCCGGTGTGGGGGCCCTGCCTCTGCAGCCACTAGAGAGAGCTTTAAAACAGCCCTGCGTGCCAGCAGGGTTAGGGCCAAGATGACATTTTACAGATGGAAACTGAGGCCCAGAGGACCAAGGCCTCTAACAAGAACAGGATGGGCATGAGCCATGGCCTACCAATCACAGGGCTCTGATGGATTGAACACTTATTAGGCACCAGGCACAGTACTATGTCTTCCATACACATTTAACCTAGCGCAGGAAACCTGCAGACCTGCTGTTATCCCCACTTTACATACATGTGGGCAAACAGGCCAGAGAGGCACAGCAGCTGGCTAAAGGCTGTCCAGTTGGTATGAGATGTTCCAGACTGCCCTGTCCCCTGAGGCCTGGCTGCCAACCCAAGGAAGCCCTCCGACTGCACAGTCATGAGGTATCTGCAGCGCTGGTGACCGGGCTCAGAGATGTAGGAGAAAGAAAGGAACTTGAGGCCAGGATGGGAGGCCGCCCCCGCCCTTCCTCTGCACCCAGCAGAGCCCCAGGATGGGCCCCAAGTCTGGGGGACACTCTGCACTCAAACCGCAAAGCACATCTGGCCCTTCCAGCTGCTGAAGTTTCTCTCCCTCCCTGTGTCCCCTCCACGTCAAGAGGGCCACCTCTGAGCCCCGACTCACCTGTGTTGGAGCCTTCTCCATCCCCATCCTGGTCCTCAGCCCCTGGGAAACGAGAGTGCAGGGTGAAGGAAAAGCTCGCCCAGCGCCCCCGTCACCCCTGTGCTTCCCCACCTGGGCAACCGCTGTGGTCCAGGCGCTGCACACCGGGCAGGCACCTGAGAGCAGAGTACGCCGAGCCCAGGACAAGTCAAAAGGGCACCTGGCCCGCAGCCCACCACTCCCCTAGCCCAGCCCTCCTAGTGACACATGTGGCTTACACATGCAGGGTTACACTGGTTTACACAGATACACCCACCCCCTTGGAACACGCGGCCTCAACTGGCTACAGTCATCTCGTCACCAGACACCCACCCTGACGTCACAGACAGCAGCCGCTGAGGCTGGAGGTCTGTTCCCTCCAAAACGTGTGGAACTTTCATTGCCGTGGAACAGTCATAAAAGGTCTGATTTATTTATTATTACGATTACTGTTTCGACAGTGCCAGAGATCAAACCCAGGGCCTCAGGCGTGCTGGGTAAGCGCTCTGCCACTGAGCTGCATCCCAAACCCCACGAGGTGCCACTTTTAAGAGGTAATTAGGCCATGAAGGCTCCACCCTCACCAGTGGGATCGGTGCCACCCCTCTGGCCCTGTCACCTCCTGCCACAGCAAGAAGGTCACATCAGAAGCCAGCACCTTGATATTGGACTTCCCAGCCTCTGGGAACTTTCTGTTCTTTACCTTCTCCTGTCTCGGTCCAAGACAGCAACACACTCCAAGGCATACGCGTACATGGACACGCGCACACACACACACACACACACACACACACACACACACCCTCACTCACCCGCGTTCTCCTCCTCACAGCTCTGCTTGATCTTCCTCCAGCACACAAAGGCCAGGGCCACCAGCAGTACAATGAGACAGACAGAGAGCCCCACGGTCACCCACAGGGCCTCTGGAGGAAACGTCATGGGCTGCCCTAGGGTGGGGAAGAGGGGACAGTGAGATGTCACACCTGGAGCCATCCCTCAAGACTGCTCTTGGGTGGGAACACATTGTGAATGAGGCCCTAAGTCCCTGCCGCCTCTCTTCCCCATTCACAGCTCTGGCTGGCAAGGCCTGAAGAGTCTGGGGGTGAATAATGCTCCACAACCTTCCATGGGCCCTACTGATTCTGGCAGATGCTTCAGCTTTCTCAGGATGATCCGAGGAGTTCTGTGATCTGCCTGCTGCTTCCCCTCCCTAGCCTTTCTTTCAAATTTCACCAAAGGAAACTGCACTCCAGTGAAACTGGCATCCGAGACCTGCTCTGCAGAAACAGCTGACTCCTTCCAGCCACCACACAGTGCTATCCGTGTCCCCTTCTTAGACAGTGCTTCAGACTCCTCCTAGCTCAAGATTGGCCACTAGGAGGTCCTCCTGACTATGCCAGAGTCAGCCCCACCGGGGGAAATCCCCATCCAGCAGCTCAGCAGCCAGGAAACTAGGGCCTGTGGCCAAATGTGGGTGGTGGCCTGTTCTTTACAGCCTAGGAGCTGGTGGTGTTACTGTACAGGGTTATGGGAAAGAAGGGAGGGAGGGAGGAAAAGAATAAAACAGGGGGAGAAGGGAGGGAAGGAAGAAAAGGAGGAAGAGAAAGGAAGAAAGGGAAAGAAAGGAAGGAAGGGTGGGAAAGAAAGAAACCCGGGTGTGGTGGCGCACGCCAGTAATTCCAGCACTTGGGAGACTGAGGCAAGAGGATCACCAGGAGTTCGAGGCCAGCCTGGGCTACACAGTGAGCTCAAGGCCAGCTTGTACTATAGTGAGACCATCTCAAAAAAAAGAAAAGTAGGGCCAGGGATTTAGCTCAGTGACACCTGCCTCAAAAACACAAGGTCCTGAGTTCGATCCCCAGTACCAAAAAAAAAAAAAAGTAAAAACAGAGGGAGGGAGGGAAGGAGGGAGAAAGGAGAAGCAAGAGGCACAAGAGGATAAATCAATGACAGGAGAGATGCCATACTACCCACAGAGCATCTACCTGGCCCTTCCCAGGAGGTGTGTGCTGAGCTCTAGGCACAGATGAAGGCCTGGGAGTCAGGGTCCTCAGTCCCCCTAGGATTCCAGTGGGCCTGGGGAAGCCCTGCCAGGGACTCAGCAAGGAGACCCTGAGGGCCCTCCTGTGTCAGGAGAGGCACTGAGGAGCCCGGCTGGGTCGGGGCCTGCAGCTGTTCTGCGCACAAACCTCGATGGCTCTCTCCCTCTAGCTGGGTCCTGGGCAGAGGCTTCAGGGGAAAAAAAGTGGCCAGGGCATCTGCAGCATGGAGCCGGCACCCTCTGCAGAAGTCCCTTAACCCTGCAGCATCAGAGGCCGTGGCACAGAGCACCCTGACAGGTACTGCAGCAGACCTTCCTTCTACACTGGCAGCACTGCTGCTCTGGACACTGGAAGCCAAGGGAGCTGTCACATAGGTGAGCAGGAGCTGCCATGAGGCCAGCAGGGCCAGTCCAAGAAGCAGACATAAGAATCCCTTGGGAGCCTGCATGGTGGCACATGCCAATAATCCCAGTGAGGCTCAGGCAGGAGGATAGCTGCAAGTTTAAGATCAGCCTGGGCTACACAGTGAGTTGAAGGCCAGCCTGAACTGCATAGCAAGGCCCTTGTGTCAGAAGGGGGCGGGGGAAGGGGAAGAAGAAGAAGGATCCACTGGAAATTCTAGGGTAGGGATATGGCAGCAGCAGAGGGGGAAAGCTGCAGACAGGGTCTCTCTCTGTGTTCACCCCAAGGCTTCAGCTGGTGCCTAGAACGCAGATAAAACCCGCCCTCCTTCAGCCAGTAAAGGGCAGAGCCAGCCAGGGCTCAGCCCCACATTTTCAGGCTCTTCTCCGTGGAGAGGCTGGCATGGCCTGGCATGCTTAATGTCACTAACCCATCAGGCATGGGGGAGGCCAGCTGGAGCACTCAAAATCTTAATCTCAAGATGTTTCACCAGACACAAAGCTACCCGGAGCAAAATACAGGCCAAGTGCTCGAAAGTAGGCCAGACCTGCTGTATCAAAACTAGGAGGCTGGTCGGTGGGGGAGGCAAATCAGGCCGAGAGGCCAAAGCCAGATCCTGATCCCTGCTCATGTTTACTGCAGGGCACGGGGGCCAAGGCTTGCAGACTCCTGGCAGTTTGTTTAGTGAAGCCAGGAGCCTCCCAAGTTATATGCAAACTAGTGCATTTATCATGTGTCCTGGCCCCCAAAGGACTCAGAACCACTGTGCTGGTCTGCGGACCCCCTTCTCCGACTCCTCATCTGTGAAACATGATTGGCCACACTGGCTGGCCTACATGAAACCCCTTTAAATGGTAGCTCCCAAAGCATTAAATAAAGAATTAGGTGAGGGGAGCGTTCTCCCTGAAGACCCATCCATACTCATAGCCCTTTCCACACAGCACTGCAAATATCCAATTCAGCGCAGTGTGCAAGTGATCACGAATCCTTCTGTCTTTCCTGGTGAGAGCGTCGCATTCTCTGCCAGGCTCACTCCATCCTACACTTCTCACCTTTTTCTTGGGAACACACGGCTTTCCCTTCCAGATCTCTAAAAGGGAGACATGTCCCCCCAAGGAGACCTCTCAGAGGCTCTGAGAGCCCAGGGCAGTGGCAGGGACAGGAGGGATAGAAATAAGTCACTAGCCCTGAGGTTTGCACGGACACTGGGGTCAGAAGCTGGGTGGGCCGAGGGGTTGGACAGAAGTCACCAAGAGAAAAGAGAAGGACCAGACACAGGTGCCACTGTCCTGAGCTGAGGGATGTGGGAGGTCCCTGGGAAACTCGGGTGGCCTGAGGGGCCAGACTGCACAAAGGCCTAGGAAAGGGATGGATGGGGACCTCTCAGGGCTTGCAAGGGCCCAGAAAACCAGAGCTAAGGGAATCACCCCACGGCCAGCCTCGATACAGTGTTTGGCCACGTGGGGGCAGCAGAGAGAGCCCTGGCCAACCCACCTGCAACCTGGTGAAGCTGCAGGGAGAACTCACCTTGGCCTAGGAGGGCACTGACCACCTGGAGAGGCCCCACCATCTCTCAGGACTTCTGTATCGGATCATGTGCTGGCCTCTAAAACCCCTTCACACCACCCCGAGAAGTTCCCTCACCGTGTCCTCGGGCTGCCGGAGGCTGGCCCAGGATCCCCGCCCACACCTCCAGATTCCAGGCGGGTACTTTGTCCCCTCCATATGAAGCTTAAAGCACCATCTAAGAGCAAACATTATAAACGATTCTTATCAGCTCATTAAAGCAAGTCTCTTAGACTTCCTATCGGGGAGACTCTGAGACGCCTGAAATCGCTATTCAAGTAACTTTTAAACATTCTCCGGAGCCACCCAAATCTGTTGAAACTCCAATGTGGAGTCTAGAAAACAGGTGGCGGCTCCCTCCATCCCTGCCCAGCCAACCACAGGCCCCTCACCCGTGATGGTGACTGAGCCGTGAGCGTCCTGCTGCAGCACCCGGTTGCGCACCAGGCAGCTGTAGGTACCATTGGCGCCCAGCACCACCTGCAGCACGCTGTGCACGTCGAA